AAACCTTTAAAAAAGAGTCCACTCAACGGGGCTTGGGTTATGGCTCAGCACTAGATTGCTCACCTAGCATGTGAGAGACGCAGGGTTCAATCCTCAGCATCACATTAAAAAAATAAAATAAAAGTATTATGTCCAACAACTAAAAAATATTTTTTAAAAAAGACTCCACTCAAATACAAGATTTCCACATTTCAACCTCACTTGCTACTCTATAATAGATTCTTTTCCTCCAATTAAATCTTAAAACTTTATCTATGATTATACTGCCATTCCAATTAATTATATTAACATCTATACTTGGTATCCTAAAAGATAAGAATTAAAAATAATTTAAAATTGTTTAAAATTTTAGGATAATTATTGACCTACAGAAAAAATTTTTAAAATGGCACACAATATTCCTATATACCTCAACTGCAATTTCCTTCATTATTAACTTCCTATGTTACTATGGTACATTTGTGACAATGAACTAATACTGATATATTAAAGTACATATTTTATTCAGACTAGTTTAGTTTTTATCTAATGTCCTTTTTCTGTTCCAGGATCTCACCCAGAATACCATGTTGCATTTAGTCATCATGTCTCCTTAGGTTCCTTTTGGTTTGTAGCAGTTTTTCAGATTTTCATTGTTTTTGATGACCTTGACAGTTTTGTTTTTTGGTTTGTTTTGTGGTGTGAGGAATTAAACTCAGGGCCTTATGCATGCTAAACAAATGCTCTAACACTGAGCTATACCCCCAACCTCAACAATTTAAGGAGTATTGGTCAGGTGCTTTGTAGAATATCCCTCAATTTGAATTTGATGATTTTCTCATGATTAGACCGAGTTTATGAGGTTTTTAAGAGGAAGACCACAGAGTGTTACCATCATCATGTCATATCAAGGTTATACTATCAAATGTGATTGTATCATTGTTAATTTTAACTTTGATCACCTGGCCTAAGGAATTAACTTTTACTTTAATTTATTTAATACCTAGTCTAGATCTACCTATATGAAAGCTCTTATGTACTGTCTTGGTGATTTGGATTGAACTCATTACTAGGGAAAAAAAGGTTGGTGAGGGAACTATCAAAACAGGAAAAAAAAAAAAATGCTGGGCCCAGGGTGGTGCATGCTGGCATGCCAGGTATTCAGGAAGCTGAATCAGGATGAGCGCTAGCTTGAGGCCTAGGCAACTTAGGGAAACCTTGCCTCAAAAAAAAAAAATTAAAAGGGTTGGGAATGTAGTTCAATGGTAAAGTACCCTTGAGTTCAATCCCTAATACCTACCAAAAAAAAAAATCCCTCAGGAAGTGAAAAAAGGGTTGGCTTTTAAACTATGGCCTTGACATTTTTTAGACATATAACTTTGGACAAGTTATTTCTGCATCTGTAAATGAAATAATAATAACAAATAGTGCTTTTAAATACCTGTTGAGAAATGTTTGTACATATGTTTTGTAAAATAGAGTTTACATTTTAAGGTTAAAAATTAACATTATCTAGTGGGTTAATTTTCAACTCTTGGATGAGCAGAGAGCGTAAGGATGGCCTTAGGCCTGAGCCTAAGCAACTCCATTTTAAAACGCCAGTTTGAAACCTGCAGTCTCACCACACACGCCTAATGGAGCCCTCCAGTATAGCCCTTAGGCACAAACAAGTCACTTCTCCCCACCCTGACAAACTCAGAGTGAAGTCTCTGGCATGTTGTCCTCGTCCCATAAGGGAGAAAGGCGAAAAAATCAGGGTGAGGACCACCAGACCAGATGCTTTAACCCCAGTGTAAATGACATCACTGAGAGACCCGGTGGCAGCTGATAGGGATTGAAAGGGTGGCCAAAAGCCCTAAAATTTACTGTAAATGATGGAGCAAATGAACATACATTCAGCCAGACAACACTGATACCCTCACGATGGAGAACTGTAAAGGGTCCGGCAGAGCCTCAGAGGGAGAGACCATACAAGAGACTGGCTCCATGCAACTGCAAAAGGGGATTTATTGGGAATCCATTCCAGCGCACTGGGGCTCTGTGCTCACTCAAGAAGGGAGAGCAGCCCAGAGCCCAGAGCAGAGGTCAAGCAGAGCTTAAGTACATTTTTTGGAGAGGGCCGGGGGCTTTGCATACATCAGAACAAATCATCATGAGGCACAGGAAAATTGAACAACAACTCTGAGACAGGATTAGTACATTCATTGGCGGGAACAGTCTGGGCAGGGGTGATTGGTCACTCCTAAGCGGGGTACACATTTAAACTGATTGGTTTTGGAGCCTAGATGCTTACGTGCCGAGTTACTTGGAGCCCTTAGCTATTAAAAAACCAGGGGACCAGGAGAAATATTTACTGGGCAGTTCAGGTATTGTCCTAACAGCTACAGGGATTATAGGTTCCAGGGGTAGCAGAGGAATTTTAACAATACCTGGTCTTTTACTTTTTAGCCCAGGCCTTGTAATTTAGAAGCTTTACAATGCCCAGTCTTTTACACTTTAACTCAGACTTTTGCAGCTTAGAATCAGCTTAGAATTGTCTTAGAAATTTTACCTTTACAGAACCTGAAGAGGACCTGGAATGACATCCTATCTCTTCTCATCTTTTGTCTGATCCTCTGCATTTTCTTCAGTACTCTCAAAGTCTACAGCCACATCTTGACCCTGGTGAGAGCCACAACTTCTCTCTACAACCCTCTCCTCTACTAGCCATCAGCGCCACCCCAGGAGAAGCCTGCCTTGGTTTCTGATCTGATCATCATGTGAAGGTGTATCTGCTGGATGCCTTAGGCTTGAGACTTTTGATCTGAAACTTGAACTTAGCATGCAGAAGGAATGTCTGTCATGAGCCTGTCATGATTAAGTGTGTTTGTAGTGTTTAAAATTAATCTAGAATTGTTTGCTGTGAAATGATTAATCTAGAATTGTTTGCTGTGAATTGATTATGTCTATTTCAGTGCCTAGCATTAACGATTGTCATTTTCTTGATTAAGAAAATTTAGCTACCTATAGAGTAACTAAACTGTGAAACCAACCTAGATGCCCTTCAATAGAAGAATGGATAAAAAAATGTGGCATATATACACAATGGAATTTGCTCAGCAATAAAAGAGAATAAAATCATGGCATTTGCAGGTGGAGTTGGAGAAGATAATGCTAAGTGAAGTTAGCCAGTCCCAAAAAACCAAATGCCAAATGTTTTCTTTGATATAAGGAGGCTGATTCATAGTGGGGTAGGGAGCAAGAGCATGGGAGGAATAAACAAACTCTAGATAGGGCAGAGGGGTTGGAGGGGAAGGGAGTGGGCATGAGGTTATTAATGATGGTGGAATGTGATGATCATTATTATCCAAAGTACAGGTATGAAGATATGAATTGGTGTGAATGTACTATGTATACAGAGATATGAAAAATTGTGCTCTATATATGTAACAAAAATTATAATGCATTCTGCTGTCATAAAAAAAGAACCCATAGAGTAAAGTTGTATTCAGTGATAAGAGTGAATAAAGCATTGACAAAGACAGAAATGCGTGGACATTCTTTATTTCTCCCCTTCAACTGCATAAGTTGCACTTTTTGCCATCGCACAAGGTCAGTGTGAGTTAAGAGGGTTTTTTGAGTTCCCATTTTTGTTTGCTTCTTTTTGCCAGTCTGCTTGCTTTCTCATAATAGAGGGGATTCCCTAGATATTATGAAGCCACAGTAAAGAGCTCAACTTCATGTGAATTAACTATTAATAATTTTGATGATACTTTTTTTAATCTGCAGTATCTGTGAGACAGAAAACATCCCTCTTTGAAAGTTGAATAATTTTTTTGTAAGCTGAAAGACGAGTAACTTTATTTTAGCAATGGACCAGAAGCATAGAATAATTATTCAAAGATGAAAAATCTTTCTGTCTCGGAATCGTGCCACTTGATTTGAATGAAAATACCAGTTTTTGTGTTCTTGAGGTTTTATGTTGGTGGCAGTTATTTTTTAAAAAATAGTTTTAGTTGTTGATGGACACAATACCTTTATTTTGTTTATTTTTTTTTATGTGGTCCTGGGGATGGAACCCAGTGCCTCAACGTGCTAACAAGCTTCTAACCACTCAGCCACAAACCCAGCCCCCATGGCAGTTATTGATAAAGCAACTCCATCTCTTTTTCAAACAAGTGAGAGCCAGTAACAATTTTTTCTTTATACACATAGAAAGGAAATATGCAGAGAAAAAAAAAAAAGAAGAGGCAGGGCTTTCTCTGCACCAGTGAAATTAACACTGCACATAATAGCAACAGCTAGCCTGATATAATGCAAAGACTAGTGATATGGATTCAAGCCTAATTCTGTTTCAAACAAGATATAAGACTTTGAGAAAGTTTTTGAACGTCTTTGCTTATTGGATTTCTGAGTGTAAAACTATGTTGTTGAGAGGATGAGACAAGGCGTGCAGAAACATCTTGTAAGAGAGCTATTATTTCTAACCCAGAACGTGTTCCCTATCAGTAAGGGTGCATTACTTACTATTCATTGAGAGCAGCTTTTGGACTTTGTATTTGGAAGTCCAATTGAGCCAAAAGCAGCAGTGCGTTTAAAACCAGGATCTGACTACCCTGAAACATTCTTTCGGATTATGAAGGAAACCAGGCTGGCACCACCTGAAGTTTATTTTCTTCTGCTTTTCCCAGTATTGTCTGGGACGTCATATTTTATGACTTTTTTGTTGTTCTTTTCTTTCCTCATCGTTAGCACAAAGGAGAAAATTTCCTCTGAAACAAGTACAACCTTCTTTTGAAACAAAATCTTTCTAGTCACCTGTTTCTAGCAGTAGCTCATCTACTGCTCTCCCTACTTCACCCAGAGAGCCAAATTTAACACCTCACATTATCTATCAGAGATAATCCTCGCGAGATAAGATTGCAAGGAGGGGCGAGAGGAAGCCCACTATCTCGCGAGAAGAGGGGGCATCGGCGGAAACTAGCAAATGGCCCCCTAGGCGACCCGGCCCCAGCCAGTGGGCGGGGCCAGAGTACATCCACCCCCTTCCGGCTCTTTTCCCAGCCCCTCCAGCCCTGAGGTGTTGGGTTCGGGTGCTGGCATCTGGGTTCTCCCGGTTTCCGCGGCCGGTGCCAATTTGAGTTCAAAGCCTCCGGTACGCGCTTGGGCCTGATTTGTGGAGGGGGGGCGGGGAGGGACCTGCAGCTTGCGGCCCCGCCCCCTTCTCCCGCTAGCCCGCGAGCGGATCGGCCCGCCTCCGGCTTCGGCCGGCACTGGGGCCGCGTTCCCGGTGCAACCCGGTAGCCGAGGCCTGAGCTTCTACTCGCAGGTGCCGGTGTCGAGGCCCCAGGGCACAGCCCGGTTCGGCCTCATGGTGGGTTTTGGAGCCAACCGGCGGGCTGGCCGCCTGCCCTCTCTTGTGCTAGTGGTGCTGCTAGTGGTGATCGTTGTCCTTGCCTTCAACTACTGGAGCATCTCCTCCCGCCACGTCCTGCTTCAGGAGGAGGTGGCCGAGCTGCAGGGTCAGGTCCAGCGCACTGAGGTGGCCCGCGGGCGTCTAGAGAAGCGCAATTCGGACCTCTTGCTCTTGGTGGACACGCACAAGAAACAGATCGACCAGAAGGAGGCCGACTACGGCCGTCTCAGTAGCCGGCTGCAGGCCAGGGAGGGCCTGGGGAAGAGATGTGAAGATGACAAGGTAAGGACGAGCTCTTTCCCCACAAACCCCATCGTTTTCTTTCAGTTCCTGTGGGGGTTTTAGCCCACAAGAACTTATCACTTTTAGGATTAGCCTTATCACTTCTAGGATTGCAGCCCTGAAAGCTCCTCTTGCCCTCCAAACCCTGCTTCTGTCAGACGTATCTCAGTTTATTAATGCCAGTCTCTAGTCTCTGCCAGAGACTGGCTTTAAGTACTGGTTCTCAAGAACCAGAAGTTAGCCTGTGTGTGGTTGCCGCCTTTTCACCAGGCTCAGCTGCTGAGCTGGCAGTGGTAATCATCTGGCCTGTGTGGCTGCCTTACGTTTACAGACACAAATCTGGAGACTGCCAGGTTTGGTGTGGGTATTGTTGTCTCATCCTTATTCTGTGCACACGGGTCAATGTTAATTTCTTTATTTGAAAAATGGGGTCTCCTCTAACTCCTTTTGGCGAGACACACATACACACACAATTTTTTAAAGCAACATGACTTCTTAATTCTCTATAGGATGATGTATCAACTAAGGAATCAGATATTACTGCCTTTTTGTGATCAAAATTTTGTGATAAATGGGTCCTGGAGCCATATGTGAGCCACACTTGTGACTTGGACTTGGTTAATCCGCAATTATCTACTCAATTTGAATTGTTAATGAAATTAGCCAAAATGGTAGGTAGAATCTAAAAATAAGTCTTAAGCAGCAGAATCTCATGTCTGTGTCCTCATTGTTCTTGAAATAAAATGAAATTGTGTATGCTTAAGAGTAATAATTGTTGTTTTATGTAGAAAACAAACTTTGAATTAAAAACAAAGTTTTAAATTTAAAAAGCTTAAAACTGGACTAACCATGCCTGCTGTCTTTGCTTTTTCTAGTATATTACTAGCTGTACTAACAATTTATGATTTACACAACTTCTGTTGGTATAGCAGAGTTGTCCATATTTCCGAATGTGATAGTAGATGTCTTATTTTCTGAACTCCTTTTTAGTAATATTCACTTTTTAATGTAAGTTTCCATTATAAGTTTTTACTTTGTGTATCAAAATCTTTTAGAGTAAATCACTATAAAAATCTGCATGAGTTCCCAACTTTCCTATTGTGATTGGTCTCTAGCTTCTTCCTTATTTCATAAGATTGAGGCCCTCAGGTAAGTGTTTCCCTATGACTCCCCCCCTTCACCATTACATAAGATATCCTCTGAAAAGGACAAAGGACCAGCAAATTTATGCACTTACTACACATCAAACTCTAAAGACTGAAAAAGTCTCTTGGGTAGCGTAGGCAGAAAACTGTGCAGTTTTGGACCTCATTAAATGAGGTCTTCAGACTTGGAATGGTTAAGCATTATTTAAATTCTTACATATTCATTTTTTTCTAGTATACACTCTGGATTCCATTTCTTCTATCTATTGGACTGTTGCCACCTCTTTGAGTAGGTTTTTAGTTTTACTTTGAATCAGGTGCAACTGTCCTCAGTTCTAAATTTTAAAATTTCTATACATACTCCCTTTTCTCTAACAATTACTTTCTTTTTTAACTTTCACTGCTTACTCAAGTTATTGGTGGCCTATTAATACTTTGTGTATTTCTTTTTTTTTTCATCCCCATCCTAATCTTTTAAAATTCTGTCTGCCACTTCTTTTTTCCTCTTTTCTGAAGCTTTTATGTGAAAAGTCACAAGTGGCAGTAAGCCTTGTCAAATCCAAAGAACATTATGATTCTCAGTTTATTTAATATTTTGTTTGGCCCTCTTGTCTCTAGCTTTTTGGAAACTATCTCTTTCCTTGCTTCTGTAATATTGCTCTCTTCAGATTCTCTTTCTATTCTTTCTTTACTGTATTCTTTGCTGTTTTAATTTTTTTTTGCTTTTTTCCCCAACCACTCTGTTCTTGGGCCTTTGTTTTCCCCCTTAGAGCATTATTTCCTAAAGTGGTATTAAACAGCATACTGTTCTTGGAATTTATGGGTGGTCAAGAGAAAAAAGGAAAACATATTTGGAGGGAAATCCTAAGAACTATATCTATCTCTTAGAGTTCATAATGCCTGTTGGCTATAAAGGCTCTGTGAAATCCATTAGTAAAGAAGTCTGTTTAATTTTGTTTAACCCAATCTTTCTCAGTTTATTTGAGCACAGCTTGCCATTTTCATGGCCTACTATTACCACAATATAGAAGAATGTAGCAAAGCACACTAACCTGGAGAATGTTGCCCTAAATATTTTAACTACTTTTAAGTGTTTGGCTAATATTCTATGCAGCTAGAGCACAAACCTATATCTCCTGACTATAGGCCAGTGTTATACATTTTGAGCTAACTATGACATTTTTGTTGGAGTGCTTGTGAGTGAACTTGGGGTTAACAAGGAGGCTCTGAGCTATACAAAAAAGGATAGTCTTGGGGTGTGTGTGTGTGTAAAATAAATAAATAAATAAATAAAAATATATATATAATTTTTTTTTAAAGAAAAGTTTTAGATCTATAAAATTATTGTGAAGATAGCACAAAGTATTTCCATATTTTCCACACCCAGTTTCTCTTATTATTACTGTCTTATATTAGGATGGCACTTTTTTTTTTTTAAGTTGTGAGTGCACATAATACCTTTATTTTATTTATTTATATGTGGTGCTGAGGATCCAAACCAGTGCCTCATGTGTGCTAGGCTCCAGTTACAACCCCAGCCTCATGGAGGCACAGTTGTTATAATTAATGGACCAGTATTGATATATTGTGACTAACTCAGGACCATACTTTATCCACATTCTTTTCATGTTCTTTTTGTGTTCTAGGATCCCATTTAGGGTACTATTACTTTTAATCTTCATGACTTCTTTTTTAAAAATATTTTTTTAGTTACCAATAGACCTTTATTTTATTTTTTTATATGTGGTGCTAAAGAGTTGAACCCAGTGCCTCACACATACTAGGCCAGCTCTCTACCACTGAGCCACAACTTCTTAAGTTGCTTAAATTGTGATACTTTTTCAGATTGATCTTGACAGTTTTGAGGATTTCTGATCAGGGATTTTGTAAAATTTCTTTGAATTGAAATTTGTCTGCTTTTTTTTCTCAGAATCAGACTCAAATTATAGTTTTTGGAAAAAAACCCATAAAGTACCAATCTTGTCACGTTATATCAAAGTTACATCTTTCAAATGACTTATATCACAATTGATATTAACCATTATCACCTGGCTTGAAATAGTGCTTGTCAGGCTTCTTCATTGTAAAGTTACTGTTTTTTTTCCTCCCTTCCTTGTCTTTACACTTTGGAAGAAATTCATATATCCAGCCACACTTAATGATTAGTGAATAGTGAGTTACAATTGTAATGAAGGGCAGGGTATCCACATAAATTATTTGGAATTCTTTTTCTCTGGAGGTTTGTCTCTTCTCTTTCACTAATTAATTTATTTAATCATTTATTTATATCACTATGGACTTGTGGATATTTATTTTATACTTTGGACTATAATCTGGTGCTACTTTATTTTGTTCCAGCTCTGATTTGGGGAGCTAAGCCTTCAGTTGGCTCCTATTTCCTTTCCTTACTTTTATATGCCAGAAAGTAGAGTTTGCACATACGCCATGCCCAGTTGCCTTGTCATATACCTCTTCCTTACTTTTTGGCACTCTTAACATTCTTTAAGCTCATCTAGTATATTTTCTGCTTCAGTCTCAGGCCAGCATTTCTCCAGGGAGTTCTAGATCTCTTTAGTGGAGAATAGTGTTAGATCTGGGTGCTAGGTATGCCCATTGCTACTGTCAGGCTGTCTTTGGAAATCTAAGAATCCCTGTTCCATTGGAAGCAGAAAGATAATATTGGCTTCTTCCAGATTTATTATGTCATACTGATATTTTCAATCTGTTATCTAGACTGCTAAACGCAGAATAAAGGAGATTAAAATTGTTCCTATTGTTGTCCAGGAAAGTGAGAAACAAGATCCATTTATCTGGATTCCTTCAAATTTTTTTATTTGCCTTCCCTGTAAAGTGTTTCAGCATGGAAAGGTATAGAAGTTTGCTAGGGCTACCATAACAAAATACCACAGACTAGGTGGCTTAAACAACAGAACTTTATTTTCTCACAGTTGTGGAGGCTGGAAATCTAAGATCTAGGTACTAGCAGAGTTGGTTTCCTCTGAGGCCTGATCTCCTTGACTTGTAAATGGCTGTCTTCTTGCTCCTTTATCCTTACAGAGTGCTCCCTCTGTGCATTTACAAACCTGGTGTCTCTTCCTTTTAGACAGTGGTCTAAGGGTTCAACACTAATTTTAATTTATTACCTCTTGAAAGATCTTATCTCCAGTATGGTTACATTCTGATGTTCTGGGCTTTGGGACTTATGAATTTGGGGCAATACTATTCAGTCTAAAAGGAAAAAAAAGGTTTTTTTATTAGAAACATACACACACATAAAAGTTCAGTTTTGACGATTGAAGCTGATGACAATAAATGACCACTTTTTTCTTTAACTACCATAATTCTTCTTGAGTTAGGGTATACCTTTAGTTAAGTAAAGGTCATGGCCCAGAAAAGAGAATAAGAAGCATATTACATTTTTTCCCCCAGAAATGTCTTTATTGTGTGTGTGTTTGTGTGTGTGTTTATAACACTTTTTCACATGCTAAATATGTATGTGTAAAAATCCTGGCATACAGTAGATATTCAAGGTTCAAATCCTGACTCTGCTATTTAATTTATGTATGACCTCTGACACATTACTTCTCAGTGCCTCAGTTTCCCCATCTATAGAATGAGGATAATAATAATAAACTTTTTCATTTTTGTGAAGTTTAAATGAGTAAATTAATTAGAATTCTTAAAACAGTGTCTACTGCATAGTTAATAAAAAAGGTTCAGTAAGTACTGTGTTAGTTATTATTATTCTACAGATACTTCCTTATTTCTGTCCTGCCTTCTTTCCAGGATGGGGCTCTGTGTTCTTGCCCAAGATCCGGTTCCAGCTCCAGTACCTGTGTCACCCTTTGCTCTTGG